GAAGTCATAAACTCCAAGAAATCATATGAAGTATATGTATGTATATTGTGTTCAAGACTCTCATTAAGTTAGGTAATATTTAGGTATGTATTTACACAAAAATATACTACAGCTACAATTTAGTCATCCTTTGTATGCTGCTACGCACATCTGTTGCTGCAACATCGTCTCTAACCAAAGATATCTCTATTCATGTTTAAATTAAAAAAGTTTTGCACCGCAGACGCAGTTCGGGCGAARGTGCAAATGTGCGCAGTATATTTTCACTTTTTAAAAATAAATAAGAACCATTTAAATGTTATACATATTTATGAGTGAAATTACTGAATATGTTGCCACACATACTCTTACAAGCATAGATGTGTGTATGTGGCCTCACCGCGTTGCTGCGCTTAGCAGTGCTCATATCTCATTGCCTCTTTAATTAATTAAGAGTTAAGAGCTTTAATACTGGCCTGAAGCAGAGATGATGAAAAGAACGGGGTTGCATGGGGCGGCGGGTAAACAAAGATGCAAGGTAGTTAAGTATAAAAAGTCAGCAAACGAATGGAAGGAAAAAGTGTCATTAGCGTTGTATTCAACGGCCACACATGGTAGGCGTGGTACTTAGCTATTGGGGRCATAAGTATGCTACTAAAGCGAGGAAACACGTGGGCGTATGCGTTTCTGCAATTAATGCGCTGATGAAAAAAACGAASGTGTGTGCGTGGGGCATAATGTAAACAATGATGTATAATAAGTTATAATTTTGTTAAAATGCATAGTTATCTACATATGAAGGTGTACATATACTTATATATGTATGTAGATATATATTTGTGCGCATWAATATGTCAAAGCAGTTGTTTGTAACTAATGTGTGGCTCATGTGAATGTATGTGTGTGTGCATGCTTGTTGTTGGGTTGGGGCGGTGTGCTTATGCAAATTTCCAACGGCTGTGCAAATACTTAAACGCCTAATGTAAACTAGAAGGGCACATATTCTTTTCTCGTATATATACATATATACATAAATAGYGAGTAGTGTGCTTAATGTGGTTGCTTATTGTTGATTTTTGTGCTTGACAGTGCTTGTGCTTGGTGCTGGGTGCTTCGGAGGTATGAGTGTGTTGAAGGTGAAGTGTTTAGATGAAAGTGTGCGGGTGCGGGTTATGGGAATTTGATAAATGGGTGTAATATGAATGGAATTAAGATAGAGGGCATGGAGATATTGAAGTATTTTTCGATCCAAATTATCGGTAAAATATATTTAGGTTACTGGCAAAATGTCAAGCCATAAATGAAAATAGGTTAATGATTCATAAATAAAATTTTTTAATCGTATTTAATGTAAATGTATTAATGTTACAAAATAATCGGTCTYCTGTCCATTTGCTATAGGTCTGTAGTAACTGTTCTCTAAATGTCAATCTTACTGTCAGTGTCGCTCTTAATGGTCAGTATCGCCCTTAATTATATACTCACAACATATCTTTTCTTCACTGT